CTTCTGTTCTAAGTGCAGGACTCTGCACTTGTCCTTGTTGAACCTCATCAGATTTCTTTTGGCCCAATCCTCCAATTTGTCTAGGTCACTCTGGACCCTATCCCTATCCTACAGTGTATCTACCTCTCCCCCCAGCTTAGTGTCATCCACAAACTTGCTGAGGGTGCAATCCATCCCATCATCCAGATCATTAATGAAGATGTTGAACAAAACAGGCACCAGGACCAACCCCTGGGGCACTCCACTTGATACTGGCTGCCAACTAGACATTGAGCCATTGATCACTACCCGTTGAGCCCGATGATCTAGCCAACTTTCTATCCACCTTATAGTCCATTCATCCAATCCATACTTCTTTAACTTGCTGGCAAGAATACTGTGGGAGACTGTATCAAAAGCTTTGCTAAAGTCAAGGTATATCACATCCACCACTTTCCCCATATCCACAGAGCCAGTTATCTCATCATAGAAGGTAATCAGGCTGGTCAGGCATGACTTGCCCTTGGTGAATCCATATGCATGGCCATAGATGAGAATTGCATCATCATTGCCAGCGATGGACTACCAACATGTTTTTTGGATGGTCAAAGAACATACTCTGGGAAAATACCTCTTTTTGTGTTCCCAGTGTGTTACGGAGGGTGCACCACCTTTAAACAAGAACCAAAATAAGTGGGAAGCTCTCTAGAATTTGACTATTTTAAGATGATTCATTCAAAGGATAGCTTTGTTTACATGTGACAAAGATATGCAGCTAATCCTTGGAGTCAACCCAGTTCAGCCATGTCAATATCTCTCAGAACTGATATTTAATGTATTTGACAGAGGGAAGTTCTGAAGGATTTATTACCTTGTGAAGAATACACACAGAATCTGTTCACAAGTTTGTATTTGTGATCTTTAGCACTTTAAATTATTTGCAGGTTCTCCGGATTATCAATATTTGTCTGCTATTGCATGCTGGGGTTGGTTACATACTGTGGGCTAGATCATAGAACTATAGGGTTAGAATGGACTGCAAGGGTCATCTAGTCTGACTCCCTGCCAAGATGCAGGATTTGTTGTTTCTAAACCATCTAAGACAGGTGACTATCCAGCCTCCTTTTGAAAAACTCCAGTGAAGGAGCTTCCACGACCTCCCTAGGTGTCTGTTCCATTGTCCTACTGTTCTTACAGTTAGGAAGTTTTCCCTGAGATTTAATTCAAATCGAATCATATTTAATCAGATCCACAATATGACTACGGTGCCTAAGTCCAACAGTTAGCTGCCACTGACATTCTGAAAACCCCAGCTCAGCTGCCAACTAAGTTTTGCTCATGGGCATGTGCAAAACCACCGGAGTCCTGCTCCTGCCCCACAGCTAACATTTCATTGGGCATCACAGGACAGGAGTGGGCATATTCATGAGTGACACCCAATGGCCAGGGAACTCACCTGTGAGGTGAAAGACCCAGATTCACATCCCTGGTCTGCCTGACTTGGAGCAGGGTCTTGATCACAAGTCTCCCAGGTGAGTAGGAGGTGGGAATTGTGACAGACATGGCAAGCTCCTGCCACATCCTAGGGAGACCTTATTGAATTAAGTATCTTTGGGGTCCATTGTATTAAATGAAGGGTTTATGTATTATTGTGGGTGTAATCAGGCGTGGACTCACCCCTGCGGCGCCTCCTACTGGTCGTCTCGGGAATTAGCTCACCCAGCATCCGGAGCGCCCTCTGCAGGCCAGATGTCCCGCCTGTCGTTGGCCCCCGTGTCCCTCCCAGACCCCGGTGCCCTTGGCTTGGGTGCTGCCCACCTGGCAGTACCTCACTCTCTCTCTGGGTCTCCCCACCCAGGGGAACCCCCACCCCCTATCCCAATGTCACCTCAGTTATAGCTACTGCCAGTCACCAACTAGCCCCCGTGCGCTGAGGCGGACTGCAGTCTATCAGCCAATCATCACAGGAAACAAGGGGTTTGGACTGGCTGCCTTTACCGACTCTCAGGTTGCCCCTCTGCAACCCCAATACCTATATGGGCCTAGGACCAGGCCCTGCAGCCTGGGGAGTTGCTGGCCTAGGGCTTCCCAGCCCCCAAGGCCTTTCCCCAGCCCTGCCTCACTCTAGGTCCCCGGGTGAACTCCCTGCAGCCAGGCCTGTCTCTCTTTCCTGTCAGAGGGCGACTCCTCTGCTTCTGGCTACCCTGGCCTTCTTATAAGGCTGAGTTGCTCTGTTTGGGGTGTGGCCCCAGCTGCAGCCACTTCCCCAATCAGCTGGAGTTTTGCTCCTTTACACAGTCCCAGCCCTCTGCAGGGCTTTTCCAACCCCTTCAGGGCTGGAGTGGGCGTTCACCCCGCTACAGTGGGCCAGGATTGTATGTAACCTCTCAAGGTAGGAGACATGACAGACGTGAGACCTGGGGGCTCAAAGGACTATACTAAACTATGTGCCAGACAACTATGGCCTCTTGGAACAAAGTATGTTAAGTGGTTTTCCTGGGGAATATCTAGGGGGAGATGAATGCAGATTCCCTCTGGTTATGCAAAAAGCCAGGCTTTTAAAGCTACAGAGTGGGTCTTTGTTTGCTGATCACCTATTACCTGAAGTCAGGATCAAAGGCCCAAGCTGTATAAAGGAAAGACTAAACTATTCATGGTTGTTCTAATTCTGAATCGGAGACAGTCATGAACTTGTAACCACAGGAAAAACCCAGTTGTGGATTTTGAAGGACCGACACACACCAGTGACCAAGGTTGGAGTTGTGGGGGACCTGTGGTAAGGTTTTTAGCCTGCATGTAAGTTTTTGTTGTTTTTAATGTTTTCTCTGTAATGCTTTCACCATAAGAATAAAGGTGCTTGCTTATACTGGGCTGTGTGGTAACTTATAACTGCTGGCAATTACAGCTGTTCACAGCCTTCAGAGAGAAAGCAACGTGCAAACACTGGACTGTTTAGGCAGTCTGGCTTGCTCAGAATATCACAGTGTAGGCAGGGAATTGTGCAGCCTGGAGAAAACTCGGTCAGGAGGGAGAGAGGTGCAGGTCTCTAGAGAGGTGATGGCTGAGGAACCTAGAGTGGGTGTCCTTGGTGGACCATGGAGGGGGAATACAGATGCAATTGCCCTAAACTGTGACAGGAATTTCTCCTGCTGAAGCTATTCCACTGTAGTCCAGTGACTGAAGTACTCAGATGGGATGTGGAAAAGTCAGGCTCAAGTCTCTGCTCCAGTGAATATTTATTCATATAAACTGGAATAGCTTCTCCAAGAGAGAGGCCCCTCCTGAATTCCCCATAACCTGATGGTTAGGGCACGCACCAGGGAGGTGCGAGACTGCACTGAACCGTACTCCAAGTCAGTCAGAGCGGGGATTTGAATCTGGGTTTCAGTCAGCTGCCTAGAGGCCCAGATCAATGGGAGTTAGACACCCGAGAACCTTTGTGGATCTGGGCCTTGAGCCCTGCCCCTTTCCTCTGCATTTCACTCTTAACTCCTTGCTCAGCATGCTGGTTTCTGATAATCCCTGTGTTAGGCACCAAACTCACCCCATGCACTATATGGGGAGCCGGGTGGTCTACCTGGGGCCTGAGGAGTCCACTGTGCAGCAGGGGGGCTAGGAACAAGGAGTAGCCACACTGAGCATTGCAACACCTTGGTCCCTTTGTGGTTCTACCCGTGTCTTATGCTCAATAGCTTCAAGGTGTCCACACATGTGTTGTGCTATGCTCCCAGCAATCTCGGCACTCCATCACAAACCACACACTGATTTTGAATTTAACAGGGATTGGTCCAGGTGGTGGTGGCAGCTCTTTTTGTTCACTTGAAAACTTAATACAAATGATCATTAAAAAAGAGGTGTAAATTGTTCAGTGGAGACTATAGACAATGTTTTGACCCATGCATATGCTACTGGGACCTCATGCTCCCTGGGTTCCATATCAGGGCCTTTACTGTTCCAGGCTGGGCCGAATGAATAGAAGACAAGGATGGCCAAGGTTCTTCCCTGGAGTTCCTGGCTGACATCAACAAGGTCATTGTCTGGAGGTGCCCCGTGGCCTTGGCAAGTAGCTACCCTGGACATGGCTCATGCATCCAGCTGCCAGGTGAAAGCATTCCCTGGTGTTCTCACTTGTGCTAGGAAAATGTTCCATGCCTGACCATGCACCATCCTGTAGCACCAAACAGCCTATGTCACGTGCTGAGTAGGTGGTGATTGTGCCAGATATTGCAAGTCCATGCAGTATCTCTGGGGACCATTGTATTAAATTTATAAATGGCTGATGTATAATTATGTTTTCCTCTGTGGAGGAAGGTTACCACAGCACCTCCAGGAACTAAAAATTGGGGGGAGGGGGGGATGATTACCTTGGGGATTGTGAACAATTCTAGGAAAGCTCCACTCCCTGGGATCTCTGGGTCAGACTGGGTTTTCCAGAGACTCAAATGAAGATTTGGTGTAAAAAGGCTGAGTTTAAACTGATACAGGCCTTCTTTTTGTTCCAGCAAATGGCTGGGGCTGTCTGTCCCAGAGGGGCCCAAGCCTAGCAGAAGGGTGGGACAAGACTTTGGCCTGCTAGGGGCTTATAAGACTGAGGGGTGACTGTGGTATTAGGTGTGTTTTAAATCTGTTTGTTGTTTTTTACATGTTTTCTCTGTAATGCTTTTACCTGAAGAATAAATGTGTTTGCTTAGGAAGAGCTGTGTGGGACTGCTGACAATACACTGTTCACAGCCTTCAGAGAGACAGCAATGCACAGGTGCCAGAAGTTAGGCAGGTGGCTTGCTGGGGCTATTCCAGTCTAAGGCAGCCTTAAAACCTTTGGTCAGGAGGGAGTGGGACATGGGTCCCTACCCAGAGACCGGCGATGACTGGAGACCTGAGACCTGATTGGGCACTGCTGGAGCGGACCAAGGGAGGGGAGGGGGGGGATACAGACACAGGTAACTGCACCAGTATTTTCTCCTTTGTTATACCTCATCTATTGGGGGTTTACGTGTTTTTTGTCCCAGGCTGCAGCCGTGATGGGATCGCGCCATTTCCCAGCTCGCACCGTGCTGTTCGAGAGGGAGCCGAGCGGAGTGACTTACCGCGTTCCAGCGCTGCTCTACATCCCCTGTATGGCAAAGCTGTTGGCCTTTGCTGAGGAGAGGCTGAGTATTGATGATGCCCATGCAAACCTGCTGGTGCTAAGACGAGGGACCTTCCTCAGGAACTATGTGGAGGTGAGTGGCAAGGCCGATGCTGTTAAATCAACTAATGGGGCAGATCTGGCTCTACATCACCCTTTCCCACCCCACTAGTGTGGGGCATGACAGGGGATCAATGGGGTGTGTGGCTGTGTAACATGATATAACTTACAGCAGCCGTGAGGCTTTTCTCTGTGGGGCTTTAAAATGAGGAAGGATAGATAAAGATGACATGACCTGATCTTGTTCCCACCCATGGGTCCTGCCTTGGGCATGACGTGACCCAAGGAGCAGGCCCAATGTGCCTGTCTGTTGTGTGAGTTGCTGTGAGGCGTGCAGAACTCCCATTTTCATAAAGACAGCAACACCTCCAGCTCCAGCAGGGAGAGCAACCGAAAAGAGGATGGTGACTGGGCAGAGCTATGGAGTCAGTGTGGGACAATGGCTGAGGTGACCTGGTTTGTGAGGGAACAGACAAAGGCCACAGTTCAGGAGAAAAGATGGGTGAGAGAGAGGCAGTGAGATCCAGTAACCCCATCCTGCCCTCTCCTGCTAGTGGGAAGACATGAGAGCACTGGAGACTGCGACCTTGAAGCACCATCGGTCCATGAACCCCTGTCCTGTCTACGATGAATTCACAGGCATCGTCTTCCTCTTCTTCACTGCTGTGCTGGGCAAGACTTCTGAGGCCTATCAGATCATCACAGGCCAGAATGTCGCCCGCCTGTGCTACGTGTCCAGTTCCGACCAGGGGCAGAGCTGGAGCAAGGTTACCGACCTGACACAGCAGGTCATTGGCAGGTCCATCACAGGTAAAGATCCCAAGAGCTAGGCAGGGGGCAGGGGAGAACGAAGGGGTTCAGAGATGGCTGGGGCAAAGTGCTGTCTCCTGGCTTCCTAGGAAGCTGTGTGTGGGCGTCAGTCAGAAGGAAGCGCACTTCCTGCAGCCTGGAGCTTTGCTTGCCCAGCACTGGTAAATGGCCAGGCCCAAGGCAATAGGAACAGCAGGAAAGAAGGATCAGAGCCACCAGAGTCAGGAGAGAAGGCGAGGAGGCGGAGCATGGGAGAGAGTCAATATTTGCAAGGTTCTCTCTCTTTTGATCAGTTGTGGCCATGGCCAAGATACTTAGGGGAAAGGCTGATCAGCTGGGCTTGCGCCTCCCCTCAGTTGCTGCTGGCCTTAGGCTCTGCCTTGCTTGCCTTAGGCTCTGCACCTCATGCTCGGTGGGCTGACATGACAACACAGGGCTCAATGACATTCCTGACTCTCAGTTCAGGTGCTAGTGGACAGCTGGGCTTCTCACAAGTAGCACCATCAATGGCATCCTTGGCAGAGAGGCTGAGGAGTGAATGAGTCTGGAGACAGAACTACCCTTTTCCCTGGAGAACAGGTCTCTGGAGCTCAGGATAGAGGCACAATGAAGGGGTGCATAAGGGATGCTGGCGCTGCCACATGCTGTGCTGGGGACATCACAGGCTCAAAGGCTCAGCCCCTGGCTCTGGCACTAAGTGCACTTCTAAGGGAAAGACAGTTAGGGGGAGAAGATGGAGAGGGTAGAAGGGAAGGTTCCCAACACTGGTCTTTTCTTTTCTGCACAGATTGGGCCACTTTTGCTCTAGGCCCTGGCCATGGAATTCAGCTCAAGTCGGGACGACTGCTGGTTCCAGCCTACACTTACCACATTGACTGCAAGGAGTGCTTTGGGAAGCTCTGCAAGACAACCCCTCACTCCTTCACCTTCTACAGCGATGACCACGGCCAGAGATGGCGCTTTGGCGAGTTCATCCCCAACCTGCCCACCGTGGAATGTCAGATGGTCTCTGTGGATGAGGAGGATGGCAGCAATGTCCTCTACTGCAATGCCAGGAGCCCCTTGGGCTTCAGAGTGCAGGCACTAAGCATGGATGATGGAGCAGTTTTCCACTTGGGGCAGCTTGTTCAGCGGCTTGTAGAGCCCCCCCATGGCTGTCATGGCAGTATCATTGGCTTCCCTGCCCCTCTCTTCTATGCCCCAAGCAGCCCCTATTCACGATGGAGCACGCCTTGGTCTATCAATGGCCCAGACTGCCTACTGTTGTCTAGAAAAAACACTAGACACTGTTATTGCCCTCTCTGTGATATGGCTGTTGAAAACCCAGCAGCCATGTCTTTGGGCAGCCAGCTGCAGGACCACCAACATCTGGCAGGGTCTAAAGAGCCCAGTCCTTCCAGCAGCCATCACAAGATCCATGATTCCATGTCCTCAGCTGTGTCATGTGGAGGTCAGGAGCAGCCTGAACCAGGAGCTGCTTCCAAATCCATTTTCCTCTTCCAGACCCCAACATGGGTGCTCTATTCCCATCCAACAAGCTCCAGGTCTCGGATCAACATGGGTGTCTATCTCAGTACGTTCCCCAGGGATGCAGATAGCTGGACAGAGCCCTGGGTTATTTATGAAGGCCCCAGTGCCTACTCAGATCTGGCCTACATTGAACTGACCTACTCTGAGTTCTCAGCCACTGGGATCCCAGCCATAGCCTTTGCTTGCCTGTATGAAAATGGGATGAGGTCCCCCTATGAGCAGATCTCCTTCAGCATGTTCACACTGTATGATGTGATTCAGAACATCCCCCTGAAAGCCACATCACCAGACCCGAAGCACCACTTGTATAAGAAAAAGAGGGGGAGGAGTTGTGTCACCTCCTAAAGCTCCAACTCCACAGCACTCAGGAGCTAGAAGTGTGGGATGGAACTCGCTACACGGTGGCATGAAGGATGCCTAATTATTTGTATTCAGACTGATAGTGGGCCGGATCCACAGCTGCTGTAAGCAAGCACAGCTCCCCTGCCATGAGTGCAGGCATGCTGCCTTACACCAGCTGAGGAGCTGACCCACACCTTCATCAGTGAAAACATCAAAGGCCCAAGCTGCAGACGCATATTCATGTATCCTACAGAAGTCAACGGGACTAGAACATGCATAATAGAGCTTGCTTGTTTAAGCAAACGCTTGCAGTCAGGCTCAAGCCCAATGTATGGTTTAATATCCTAGAAGGATCTGTTATCCATATGTTACAGTGCAGCTGTGCAGGAACACAGTACATTTTTACAAGTAATCACAAAACATTGTGCACTTTTACTTAAAGGGGACTCACTTTTAATAAGAGAGAAACATCCTGATGTGCGATTGCTCTAAGATACAGTGAGCCTGATTCAGCAGTGCCTTGAGCTCTGTGCAGTAGTATGCAGCACTGCAAAATGCTCCTACCAGTCTCCGGGGTAACAATATTGCACCCCTGCTGCACAGGTGTAAATGACACCACAAGGTGCCATGCGGCATGAGACCCAGCGACCCAATGGCAAGAAAACTAGACGTTACAAAAAATGATCCATGCTGCTCATTCATTACCAGCTAGAATAGACATGTCCAGTTGTGGCATCCGTACCACTGCGTCAGAAAGCCTGCAGAAAACTTCAGCTGCAACTAGCCATGGCTCCTTTGTATAGGAACTGTGAAAACACCCTTTTTATCTGTCAAGCCTGGTTTTAGTCTCTGTCATGGCCTCATCAAAGGGATGGTTCTGCTATGTAAAATTCCCCAGCTAGTGAAGACTTGTCAAATGAAGTGAACTTTGGCCATAAGGGTAGGCATAGGCCCGAGGAAGGATTAGAGGAGAAGGAACTAGGACTGCCTCAGCATCAGTCACAGCTCTGCCACAGGCAATGTGTGGCCATGGGCACGTCCCTCAGGTTTGAACACTTTGGCCGAGGTCTGGCTAGACTGCAGTCCGAGGTGTGACTGCAGCACTGTAGTATCTAGCTTGGCTCAAGACAGCGTGGGTACGGCTAGTTGTGAAGCTGCGGTACTTGCACAGGTGGCAGTATTGGCTAGCTACTGGTGTGGCTCCCCAGGGCTCTGGTCAGGCTTGTACAAGCCAGCCTGCCACTTGTGCCACTGCTGCCGCCCTGCGGCTGCTGTGCAGGACAGCCAGATTAAAGCTGGCTCGGGAAGGGCTACTCGTGCTGCAGGCACCCCAGGGTGGACATACCCAGAGTTTGCCACCTCAAACCAGGCTAATCAAGCTACTTATTTAGGCCCCTAATGATGAAGCTAGGCTGATTTACTTTGTTTGCTCAACTTTGCAAATGATGGTCTTTAAAGGAGAAGATTCAGAGATTCCAAGGCCAGAAGCAAACATTGTGATCATCTACACAGACCTCTCATATAACACAGGCCGTAGAACATCCCTAAAATAATTCCTAGAGCATATTGTTTAGAAGAAACATCCAATCTTGATTTTAAAAGTGCCAGTGATGGAGAATCCACCATGACCTTTGGTAAATTGTTCCAATGGTTAATTACCCTCCCTATTAAAAATGTACACCTTATTCCGAGTCTGAATTTGTCTAGCTTCAGTTTCCAGCCACTGGATCATATTAGACCTTTCTCTGCTTCCTTGAAGAGCCCATTATTAAATATTTGTTCCCTGTGTAGATACTTATAGATTGTAATTAAGTCGCCCCTTAACCTTCTCTTTGTTAAGCTAAATAGATAGAATTGGGGAGCTCAATCTCTGTTGAGGTGATGTCGTGGTGGGAGTCTGTTATAGACCACCAGACCAGGGGGATGAGGTGGACGAGGCTTTCTTCCGGCAACTAACAGAAGTTACTAGATTGCAGGCCCTGGTTCTCATGGGAGACTTCAATCACCCCGATATCTGCTGGGAGAGCAATACAGTGGTGCACAGACAATCCATGAAGTTTTTGTTAAGTGTAGGGGACAATTTCCTGGTGCAAGTGCTGGAGGAAGTGTAAGTAGGGGCAGAGCTCTTCTTGACCTGCTGCTCACAAAAAGGGAAGAATTAGTAGGGGAAGTAAAAGTAGATGGGAACCTGGGAGGCAGTGACCATGAGATGGTCGAGTTCAGGATCCTGACACAAGGAAGAAAGGAGAGCAGCAGAATACGGACCCTGGACTTCAGAAAAGCAGACTGACTCCCTCAGGGAACTGATGGGCAGGATCCCCTGGGAGAATAACATGAGGGGGAAAGGAGTCCAGGAGAGCTGGCTGTATTTTAAAGAAGACTTATTGAGGTTGCAAGAACAAACCATCCCAATGTGTAGAAAGAATAGTAAATATGGCAGGTGACCAGCTTGGCTTAACAGTGAAATCCTTGCTGATCTTAAACACAAAAAAGAAGCTTACAAGAAGTGGAAGATTGGACAAATGACCAGGGAGGAGTATAAAAATATTGCTCAGGCATGCAGGAGTGAAATCAGGAAGGCCAAATCACACTTGGAGTTGCAACTAGCAAGAGATGTTAAGAGTAACAAGAAGGGTTTCTTCAGGTATGTTAGCAACAAGAAGAAGATCAAGGAAAGTGTGGGCCCCTTACTGAATGAGGGAGGCAACCTAGTGACAGAGGATGTGGAAAAAGCTAATGTACTCAATGCTTTTTTTTGCCTCTGTCTTCACAAACAAGATCAGCTCTCAGACTGCTGCACTGGGCAGCACAGCATGGGGAGGAGGTGACCAGCCCTCTGTGGAGAAAGAAGTTATTCAGGACTATTTAGAAAAACTGGACAAGCACAAGTCCATGGGGCCAGATGCGCTGCATCCAAGGATGCTAAAGGAGTTGGTGGATGTGATTGCAGAACCATTGGCCATTATCTTTGAAAACTCATGGCCATCGAGGAGGTCTTGGATGTCTGGAAAAAGGCTAATGTAGTGCCCATCTTTAAAAAAGGGAAGAAGGAGGATCCGGGAAACTACAGGCCAGTCAGCCTCACCTCAGTCCCTGGAAAAATCATGGAGCAGGTCCTCAAGGAATCAATTCTGAAGCACTTAGAGGAGAGGAAAGTGATCAGGAACAGTGAGCATAGATTCACCAAGGGCAAGTCATGCCTGACTAACCTAATTGCCTTCTATGATGAGTTAACTGGCTCTGTGGATGAGGGGAAAGCAGTGGACGTGTTATTCCTTGACTTTAGCAAAGCTTTGGTACGATCTCCCACAGTATTCTTGCCGGCAAGTTAAAGAAGCATGGGCTGGATAAATGGACTATAAGGTGGATAAAAAGCTGGGTAGATCGTCGGGCTCAACGGGTAGTGATCAATGGCTCCATGTCTAGTTGGCAGCCGGTATCAAGCGGAGTGCCCCAAGGGTCAGTCCTGGGGCCGGTTTTGTTCAATATCTTCATTAATGATTTGGAGGATGGCGTGGACTGCACCTTCAGCAAGTTTGCAGATGACACTTGTCATAAATAGAAAGGGAAGGGTAACAACCCTCCTGTATACAATACTATAAAATCCCTCCTGGCCAGAGGCACCAAAATCCTTTTACCTATAAAGGGTTAAGAAGCTCAGGTAACCTGGCTGACACCTGACCCAAAGGACCAATAAGGGGACAAGATCTTGGGGGGTTGGGGGGGAGGGAAGGCTTTTGTTTGTGTGCTCTTTATTTTTGGGTGTGTTCGCTCTTAGGACTAAGAGGGACCAGACATCAATCCATGTTCTCCAAATCTTTCTGCACAAGTCTCTCATATTTTCAAACTTGTAAGTAACAGCCAGGCAAGGCGTATTAATTTTATCAACTTGTAAATGTTCCTTTTGCTAGAGGGTTTACCTCTGTTTGCTGTAACTTTGAACTTAGGGCTAGAGGGGGTTCCTCTGGGCTCTTTGAATCTGATTACCCTATAAAGTTATTTTCCATCCTGATTTTACAGAGATGATTTTTACCTTTTCTTTCAATAAAATTCTTCCTTTAAGACCCTAATTGATTTTTCATTGTTTTAAGATCCAAGGGTTTGGATCTGTGTTCACCAGGACTAATTGGTGAGGGGATATTCTCAAGCCTTCCCAGGGAAAGGGGTATAGGGACTTGGGGGAAAATATTCTCAAGCTTGCCCCAGGAAAGGGGGTTTAGGGACTTGGGAGATATTTGGGGAAAGGCAGAGTTCCAAGTGGCTCTCCATAAATATTTGGTTAAAACGCTTAGTGGTGGCAGCGTATTTTTAACCTAAGCTGGTAAAAATAAGCTTAGGGGGTCTTTCATGCGGGTCCCCACATCTGTACCCTAAAGTTCAGAGTGGGGAGGGAACCCTGACAACACTAAATTGGAGGAGTGGTAGATACGCTGGAGGGTAGGGATAGGATACAGAGGGACCTAGGCAAATTAGAGGATTGGGCCAAAAGAAATCTGATGAGGTTCAACAAGGACAAGTGCAGAGTCCTGCACTTAGGACAGAAGAATCCCATGCACCGCTACAGACTACAGACCTAATGGCTAGGCAGGAGTTCTGCAGAAAAGGACCTAGGGGTTATAGTGGACAAGAAGCTGGATATGAGTTGACAGTGTGCCCTTGTTGCTGAGAAGGCTAACGGCATTTTGGGCTGTATAAGTAGGGGTATTGCCAGCAGATTGAGGGATGTGATCATTCCCCTCTATTCGACATTGGTGAGGCCTCATCTGGAGTACTGTGTCCAGTTTTGGGCCACACACTACAAGAAGGATGTGGGAAAATTGGAAAGAATACAGCAGAGGGCAACAAAAATGATTAGGGGGCTGGAGCACATGACTTATGAGGAGAGGCTGAGGGAACTGGGATTGTTTAGTCTGCAGAAGAGAAGAATGAGGGGGGATTTGATAGCTGCTTTCAATTACCTGAAAGGGGGTTCCAAAGAAGATGGATCTAAACTGTTCTCAATG